GTTTTTTTGTTAAGACGGGCTTTCAAAGTGACTTTGTTGAATATTTGTAACTTTTAAACTGAGGTTTTATCTCTGGTGATATTTGAAGACAATTGTAGCAACAATTCTTGAAATCACATTAGGAATTATTAAAAGACACAGCCAGCTTCTTAACGAGTTTGGCACCAAATATCCCCGTCCCTTTTCCAAGAAAGGAGGAATTTCAAACGTCTTAATTCCCACTCTCTAAGAGAGGATTTTCATTAAAAATACAAATGGACACGGTGTGTTCGTAAATAGTTACGTGGTACGGAATAACGTCAGCAGCATGCGCAATTGCTTCGGACAACAAGTCAATCCTTTGTGATGTCGTTGACCTGTTGAGTCCCCCCCCCCCCACCTCCCCCCTCCCTCCCACCCACGCTTGACCACAGGACTGTGTGATACAATTAAAAGGCTTTCTCACTCTGTCCAATAGGAATAAGGCCCTTTCTGTTCACAGTTAGTCCTCGGACGTGCAAACCAAGCCCGCTTCATTACACCGCATTGTACGCCTTATAAACACAATTTGTGTATGGTCGTAGTTAATTTTATTTTTAATTTTTGAACGGTTCATTGGTCGTGGCCAATAATTATTTTGTTGTCCGTGTTTTTTTTTTTTCCAGTTATTTTTTTTGTTTGTTACAGAATGCTGCTGTAAATAGATTGTTCCGATCCACACATAATTTGGTTTTAAAGAAGTCAAAATGCACAAACTGAAAACGATTGTTTCGTCGGTGAAGGACCAAGCCAATATTGAATTATCATCACCCCGACGCAAACTCCATCTTATGAATCGTGATATTTTGTATGCAAAATGATATTTTCCAAGCTGGTAAGACATGACTTTGTGTTTAACGAAGCTGCAAGAATAGATAAACAGCAAAAAAGGGGAGAATTTTACATACCTTATGATGCATATATACAGTTTGCTGAAATTTTTTTTATGGGCATCATATTGTACAAATCAATACAAATTTGTTCAAGGTCACACAATTCACATAATACATGTGGTTCTTAAATTTCATCCGTGCCAAATTTAACTCCATTTTTCCCCATTTTTCTCAGTCTGAGAGTAACAGGGAGGCGAACAAAAAAAATAAATCAAGAATTGAATCTTAAAGGAACAAGTTCCCTCACACATTTTGTACACGCGCACGTAAATCAATAACCGTTTACTTGCTGATTGAATTATGCCAATGGTTGCCATGGTAACGCATCAATTTTTGACAGGTTGAACAACCCAATTTGGGGACGCGGTGCGTCGGATATTGTAGGCGTGATATTGCCGTTGCTAACGGACTCGGGGATTGCCCAGCAACAATGGGATGTGAGCGGGTAATTTTAGCCAGCACTGTCAGTGGATGTGTTTAGATGACCACCAAAAAAAACGCTGCAAATTGAACTGAGATTTAGTTTTGATCCATTGACTCCAAACTCAAAAATGATGTTCAAATGATGATCTTTTGCTCAAACAAATTATGATATTAAAGTGGTCATAAATTGTCTCAGATTACACTTTGCCCCCCCCCCCCCCTTAGAGATTTATTTCGTCAGCATCACCACGAAGTAACACCCATGTACACACCAGTAAAAACTAGCATTCGGAGAAAACGGCATCTTAAGTTGAACGCCTTCTAAAACGACACTTTGCGTGAAAACGACAGAGTATTTTCAGTTGGGTTTCTCGTTGTGGACACTTGATGAATTGAATTTATTAAATCTGCTGTTTTTCAACCGTTTGTGAACCCCAACGGCAGGTTTTGTTGGGATCAGGATGGGTACAGTACCCCTAAGGCCAAAAACAAAAAGTCTCCGGTTTCTGGTATGGAGCTTGCCCAAAAAGTGGTGCGGCGACGCGGCTTTTTTTTTTTTTACCTGATTTTTTTGCTTCAAATGTCGGCTGATGACTGCAAATGGTGCCCGACTAAACTTAGTGCAAATATATGGGAGTCCAGAGAGGCCACAAAAAGCTTATTCTCGACCATAACCCAATCTAAAAACACATTAAAATTGTGCAGCAGCAGGAGTCCAGTCAAACCAGTGAGTTTGGCGGTTTTGAGACATCATCTTTCATTGAAAAGAAAACCTTTTCATTTTGCCGACGCGCATGGCTACGGCGACGCGCGCGCATACCAGAAACCGGAGACTTTTTTGGGGGGGCCTAAACTGGCAGTCTTTTACATTGGGTTGGCACACCTCCAGAATCAAAGTCAGAAATATGTGTGTGCAGTTTCCCATATGGTGTTGGAATTTGCCAGGATGGGTATGATTCCTTGTAAATCATGCTAGGGAGTTAATACCGATTTACATGTAACAAGAAAATCCTTGCTCAAAGTGAAAATAGGACTGGTACCAAAAACCCTGTAAACTTATTCTGTTCTGCCTGAAATGGTATCATTTGGAAGAAAACAATCATTGAAGGTGGCTTAAGAAAGTGTACCCGCAGATTTTTTTTGTGTGAATAAAATCATAGTGCTTTGAAAAAGCAATTGAAATAAAGGAAGTTTGGGGTTTTTCTTCGTGGTCAAAAATGGAGGAATGCATTTTTGAGCCCAAAGTTTGCATCAGGGTCTACATGCTATAGTATGCTCACGTCGCTTTTTCTCATACCTTGCATTATATATGAGAAACACTAAGCTTGCTGCCGCCACCGTTGTTCAATTAAGAGGGGGGGGGGGGAAGAAGCCGCTCTCATCCTGCGTCTTATTTTTGCTTTCTACCAACTCCAAGGTTACGCATCTGCGTGTTCCGTGTTTATTATGAATTTTGCATGCATTGTTATTAAGCTCTTCCTTGTGTTCGAGTTGGACAGCAGAAAACCAGGTCTAGTGAAAAAAAAACAGGAGAAGACATTGTGGTTGGTTGCGTGTATTTTATTGCGTACTAGGGTGGAAGTCGATGAGAATTGAATGCGAGTGTTCTGTTTTTGTCATGGCTACCCATTAAAATTTGAAAGGACCGGAAATGCAACCCAACCTTTCGAGCGCATTGTCAGAAACATGCACAGAATGGATTAGGTACATGCTACTTAAGAGCATGGGTTTTAATCACAATTCATTCTTTTCGTGGAGCTATTTGTTAAAATAATTTGTTTGTGACTTAATCTGTTTATGCAGCTTTTCTGGAAAGAAATGGCTTTTGTGGTGTATATATCTAACCCAAACTCCTTGTCCACCTTTCAATATCTACAAAATATAATAAGTTACATTTACATAAATGCAGGAAAGTGGAGGGTATTTTGTCACTTAGATGTTAACCCTAAAGGAGCCAGGTTATTTTGACCATCTCACAGCTGGGGGGGAGGAATTTCCTGACTTTAGGTTAAGGGGTTTTGGAATTATCGCCTAATTAATTATTCATATGCACCAATGGTAATTCTGTTTTGTGAACACTACATGTGGGGAAAATTTAGTTTTCACTGCAGGCAGTGCCAAACAAATTTTTCGCTGCGCGGTAACCATGGTAGGAATTGTATGTTTTTGGTATCAATACACAATACACAAGGATAAAAAGTCAGGAAAGCTGGGTGGGGAAAAAAAAAATTTTGCAAGGGTATTTCAGAAAAATTTAGGGGGGTGGCGTATTTGAGGAGTCAGGGTTTTATACCCCCCCAGCCCTTTTACCATTAATGCACTCATGGTGGGTTTTTTTTTAGCGAAACAAAATTTTGCAGACATCATTATTCAAACTTCTGAGAACAGTACAAATGACACCCCCTCCCCGAATAACTTTGGCAAAAAATTTCAATCCCATGGCTTATTGGATCTGTTCTTCTTCATTAATTCTAACAAAAATGTTTACCTCCCCCACGTCCTCCCCCGCGAAAGCGTCCCTCCACCCCAAGCCCCCCCCCCACCAAAAAATAAAATAACCAATAAAACAATTCCATTCATGATGGCCATTTCCAACGAACCACCTCTTGTCCATTGCTAGGATACCATTGACTATTTCACACGTGACCAGCCCCATTGGGTCGTCCCCTTGTTCATATATTATACACTGTGGCTAAACTACCCGTGCAGTATGGAGCAAGCCCGAACAGGTTTGTGTGTAGGTCCCCGCAAAGGCATGCATGTAATCGGTCTTATCGTTTGGGGACCAATCAACAATAGCCATCATGTTTTTGGCCCATTAATTTTCAACTTTGTGTTTGCCGAGCGCCAGCCACCAATCATGTTCGCAAACATGTTTACCGTGGATTGCGCGGTTCCGTCAAGGGATCACGTCAAAATAGTTCTATTTGTGAACTGAAATTCTGTGAAAAATTTGGAGAAATAATTCCTCCTATAAAAACTAGAGTAAATTAAGTAATTTTTGTCTACTTAGAATGACATTAGTAGTTGAAATATACATCACTCTACAAAATGTTTGTAATAAAAACAGCAACATCTGTCGCTTTCTATTGGCAAGGCTTCTCACGCGTATTACACATGTTGGTAATGTCGTGATTTATGCAAAATGCTTTCAATGGCAATTACAAATGTTTTGTTTTGTTTTTCTTTTGGGTAGTAACTTATAGTTTGTTTCAAATTGCAACAACTATTCAGTTCTAAATGTGACAATGGCACACCATTTCAAATTTTGGATAACTAAGTTTTCATTGGATTAATATTGTAAATGGCTATCACTAGTTTCTACTTGCTGATTTTCATGCAAGAATATAAATTGTTAATAACTGTATTTTCTCCACCACCCACACCGTAAATTCTGTAATGTAATTATGCGTGTTAATTTCCAAGCAGTAGAAGAAAGAAATAAGAAACATATGTACAAATTTATGTCTGTCCTAAATTTACAAGGCCTTGCTATTTAAACCAAACTAAAACTTCTGAAAGCACCAGTTAATTATTGTTCACTGTCATTCGTAATGACTATTTAATTAAACATTTTAAATAACTTCCACTGGTCTGTAGACACTTTAGTCATGAATACCAGCAACACACATACACACTTCAGGACCAGCATTGATTGTATTATGTCCCAAAAAACCTTCACCGCAGTGAAGTAGAGTTCATGACTTGTTCAAGGCGGCCTGTTGTTAAGACGTCATGAGTCAAAAAAAAATAATAACTGAGGCGTTATAAACGGACTGGACATTAGCGGCCATGATTTTTCCCTGTGATTTGTGGCCGGCCCTATTCCAAGGCAATCCCCATGCAAACAATATCACCCAACAGGCTTTGCGGGGCCTTGACCCAATGTTAACCTTCGCTCCAATCGAGAGGGAACCAACCATTGTCAGCCCAGCTACATGTATTTGCCTAGGTAGTTCATTGACCAATCAAGTTGCCGGAATCCCACTGCAAAAGAAGAATAGAACCAGAACGATAGAAAGAGAAGGGGGGAAAAAAAAGTCCAAAGAATCATGAAAATCGGTCGCACCAAGTGAACCCACACAATTTGCATAGGTTTAGTTCGTTCGTTTTTTCTATGCAACCGTTGGACTTGATTTTTTTTTACTTTTACATATTTTGGTATTGTTGGGACGTGAGCGATGAATAGTGGGTGTTAACGCTGAATGCCGATGCATTATTAAGAGCTGGTCTGATAGCGTGGTAGACACACTTGGATGGTGTATACCCTGGACGAAACATCGCACCCCGGGAATCAGTGCGTTGCTAGAAGGCGTGACCCAAACGGAGCGTTGGTTCTTTTTTAGCCGGCCGCTATGGTTCTTACCTGTGGGCCTGAGAGTCGGGGTGAGTTTACAAATGATGATTTTGATTTCCAAAATGCGATTTGAAACAAAGTGAAAATGTGCACGGTTTTGAAAACGTATACACAGTATACCAGCTATTTCTAAACTTCATTATTTGCTTTATTGTATTCTTAAATTGTGTTTAACTACATGTATAAACAGCCATCGAAACCAACTTTGGGGCTATGCCAGATTCTTCTAAAGGGCTTCTTCTACAGGGTTTAAGGCTGATGAATTTCAGGCAGTGGTGCATCCAGGATTTGTGGGGCCACAAAATTTTGTTTCCAATTTTTTTTTTAGAAGTTTGAATTTTTTTTTCAAAAAATGTTGCCCAAAATTTCTGGCCGCACTATTCTGACATAGGTGGCACCGTTTACACCCCTAAAAAAGGCCACATACATGTACATACCACCACGGTCAATAAAATTGAAAAAAAAAAAAAATGACAACCTCTTTGGGGAGGGGCTCAAGCCTCAAGCCCCCCAGCCCCCCCCCCCCCCCCCCCCCCACCCCCCTTGGGTGCACCATTGATTTCTGGAAAATTTTGGTAAATTTTCAGTTGATAATTCCAACCTGAAAAAAAAACGGGAAAACTTTTTCAGTATCACATGGAGGATTTGAGGTGTAACTTTTGAACCCATTCGCACTTGTACTACAAGTAAATTGTATTACATTGTGTTAATTCAGTGATGAATTCATAAAACCATAGGGGCCATTCCACGGTTACTCACGTTACATTTTTGATGTACTTTTGAGTTTCCTTGGGCTGTAATTACCTTACTGAAAAGGTTTAATAACTGTTATCCCCATGGTAGATAGAGTAGACCTAGACCTACCTAAGCACCAAAGATGACATCCAGAAAAATGTGTTATGTATGATAAACAAGATGCACAGAATCGGTTACTCATGTTACATTTTTGTAACGTGAGTAACCGATTTTGTACGTCTTGTTTATCATACATAACACATTTTTCTGGATGTCATCTTTGGTGCTTAGGTACATGTAGGTCTAGGTCTACTCTATCTACCATGGGGATAACAGTTATTAAACCTTTTTCAGTATTAGGTAATTACAGCCCAAGGAAACTCAAAAGTACATCAAAAATGTAACATGAATAACCGTTGAATTGCCCATAGGGTTCTGGGTGGTCTTGGGTGCTGGGGGGGGGGGGGGGGGGGTAATAGGCAGGGCAGTTTGGGGCGGTACAGTGACTAAAGGGTTACAAGAAAGCAGCTAGGTTTCAACTTCACCACCAAAGGAAAAGTTATAATTTTAGTTGAAAATTTGCAACACCCTGACACAATGTTCCAAAGTGTTGATTGCATTACAACCTTCTGATAAATTAAAATTGAATCATTCTCCAATTGGGGTAAATTTGGCGGTTTAAGTGGTTAAAACATCTGCACTAGTCAGACAATGGTTGTACAGTCACCCGAAGCAATCCGATCAAATTTGTGTTTTTTTGCAAAGGCTTTCAAAAATCCTTGGGCATACAAGGTTTTCATCATTGTGTTGTTGAAGGTTGTGCAGAACTTAAAGTAGGACTGTTCTTATCTGAACAAAAACTACATAGCGAAAGTTGATAATAAGCAGGATAAATTCCTTTCAAAACTAAACATCTTCTAAGCAGTAGTTATTACCACAGGTAGTTACCGCAAACCGAAACGATACCGATACTCCACCTAAAATCTTAAATACATAAATGTACATGTATATGGGTATAAGCTGCCAAAGTCATTATATTCAGGCGTGCAACTTTTTCGTCAAATCAGCTGGTTTCCCCCCCCCCCCTTTTCATTTCACACTTATGTCATTAAAAATTGGGAGAAAAGTCTGTATATAAAGTCTTTTGAATAAAGCTTGCAAGTTCCCTTGTTTTAATTCCTATAGTTGCATGCCTGTACATTATTCACCACATGAGAACTTGTACAAGTCATGAACCCTAACAGTCCAGAATCATCCACTTTTAATAGGATATTTCACACACTTTCTGGAGGTTTTAATAAATTTTATAAACTCTTTTATTGCACTACATACTTCATGTGTATTAAAGACATTCCTTGTTTGGAACAGATAAAAATCAGTCTTCCCATTGCGCAGTTGGATAGATTCCAATATGCATGTGCATATGCACAGTTGTACTTTAGAGTTTGGACGCGAGTACGATAACGGATTTCCAGGTTTTGTTTTGATTTCAGCTCCATTAACAATGGGCATTTCTTGTTTAAAGTACAAAGCTTATTTGACAAGATGGAAGTACGTGTACATGTATCTTATCGTAAAGTTTGTGCAACTTTTTTTTTTTATGGAATTGCAATCAATGTAATAATCTGCAAGAATTGAAGTTGCAGTGCATAACTGCATGTACAAGTACACTATGTACAACTTAATTAAACCGAAACTTACACTGTAAAGGGCCCATGTAATGTAATTTTTTTAATGGCATCCTTGAAAATGCACATTTTGCGTCCCATTTAAACCCTATTTTCAACTTTCATTTTGCCATTTTCAAGTTTATTTTGGTGCCTTTGTGATATTTATGCTAATATGAATTTCCATATTCATGAGCAAAATTGTGATGTCCTTTCAGGCTGAAACCTTAATGTTACGGCTATTTCTGCACCAAAAGTTGCCAGAATTGTGGATACTTTGCTGTTAGGGATTTTCTTTTCTTTGGTGATTCGTTGTTGTGTCGACCAGTACACGGCAGTAATTATCCAAGGAGCAAACTTTTCTCACAAGTGTTTCAATGAGCAACTGTTTGGGTTCACAATTTGAACAGAAAACCCCTAAACTGAACAGTGTCTTCCTGAAATGATATCACAGCAACAGCGCCCTCAGTTGTCCGGAAAAGCATGGCCAATTTTAATTGTTCAAAGAAGTGCACTTTTAAACACAATCAACCAAAAAGGGATGTCATATATTTTTCATACATTTAAGAGGAGTAGAAAGTTGCACAAAATATGTTCCCAACAAAAATTCACTGCATGGACCCTTTACAAGGCCGGTTCGTACTTCATGCGAAGCATCTTTTCATAAGTATTAAAAAGAAATACAAAGCTTATTGTGGGTAGCTTCGTGTATTCTACCTCCATGCCCTAATACTGAACATGGAGGTTATGGTTATATCATGGAGGTAGAATTGTAGAGGGGTAAAAAAAAAATATTTGTAAAATTTTCAGTTTTGAAATGTGTTACACAAAACAGCTTAGGTATGCTGTGGTTTTTGTTTCCCTTATACTACTTGACCTTTGACCTGAACCAAGTTATGAATCAACCATTGTATGGAGAGTGACATCGCTCAAAAGGTTTCCTTTGGCCCTGCAGGCCTAATATAGTTGTACGTTTCTAAGCAGAAGTGAGATTTGTCAGGATTTTTGAAAGGATTTTTCCTGATTTCAGAATTTTTAAAGAAAAATCCTGTTTGAAATCTGGAATGCCTGCGGTTTTACCATGAAGGTTTTTCTACTGTGTTGCAGATTTTTTGTTATTTTCCCCCAATCTCGACCTTGTTGTAACTTTTCCCCTGTAAGTTCCCAGACTTATTGGGGGAAGGTCCTAGATTAGAGAAGACACCACTGTAAGAGGAAGGAAATTGCAACGGGAACAATGTGTGATTTGTCAACAGTTTCCCCTTGTTGCCCTAATTTTCTATTGCCCTAATTCGATTTCTATTGCCCTGTGCTATATTTGTCATATATCAAGCTGGAATCTCCATAGCGACCTTAATGGTCTCGTGTGAATTTTTAAACGTTCTGTTTGATCTTCCATTATGTGCACGGCAGAAGGGCTATAGTGTCCATAAAGCGGTTGTAGCCACACTGCATTGTGCCTGTAGAACTTTGCAATAATGAATGAACCTGGAGACTTGTCACTCCAAGCAAAGAATATATATTTCAGGTTATTCCTAAATGTATGCATCGCCATGTCCGTGCAACAATGTCGTTTCTCCCAAAATGGCTTGTGATGTTATGTATGTGAAACGCAAGTTTTCAATGTCAAAACGTCGTATCTTGCTTAAACTAACCCGGATGTACACACAAAGTCAATGGACGTCGCGATACGCGAGATATGACCTTGTTGCACAGAGCGTATTCGCGCGAGATACGACTTTGTTGCAGAATCATGTTACGACCTTGTTACAATGCAAGTCAACTGGTTGAATATGAAAAAATATATAAAGCCAAAAAAAATGCTTTTGAAATGCATGTCTCTGAACTTGAATTTTTTAGGGGCTGATAATAGGATACCGCAAACATCACACTCACTCAAGGCAATGTCTGCAGTAAAACCCTCTATAAATTCATTCTTCAACTGTATTCTCTATCGATTCTTTTAACATTTTTTCCTACAACATGTACGTATAATACAGCCTTTGAAGAGGCAAAGCCAGTAAGAAATGGTTTAGGAGAAATCCAGAATACAAAATTCCTACATTGTTTTACTGTTGTCTCAAGGATGTTCTACCTCTGAACCAAGTGTGGTCTTTTTACGAGTTGAAATGTGCGTCGGAGAGATGTAAATTTTTATATTCAGTTCTGCCTTTCGCCAACACATCTTTAACACATTATACTCAGTGTTGTCCAAGGGCTTGCTATAGAAAGAATTCAAAAGTTGACTCTGGTGGGACTCGAACTACACTAGTAAACAGAAGGTCCTGGGTTCGAGTCCCACCCAAGTAAGCTTGTAAATTTTTGTTCTCCCAATCCCCAAACAACACTGAGTATACAGTGCTTATAAAACACATGTCGGCGAAGGGCAAACCCAATATTAAAACAAGTTTGGTCTTTGCTGTGTTTCTGCTACAGAGGCCCAGTCGGCTGAAAATAACTCTGCAGCGCCATGAAATTAGGTCCATCTGCTGAGATTCCAAATATCTTAGCTTATAGCTGGTAAAATGCAGTCTATTTTTATTTTCTAGAGGGGACTGATTATTGTAAGGACTTGGCACAGGAAACTGGATGTGACGGGGAAGGGAAATTGCCTGGCTGAAGAACCGCACCGCATCGGTAATCGGTTTGTCGGGACACGATGAAAACGTTTGGCCCGGTGTACAGCCGGTACCCATGGGGGTGGTACGGTTTTGCACACGTCATCCCACATTGCAAAAAGCCACACAAAAAATCACTGCCTGCCAATCACTGGCCAAAAACCCCCAGCAATGCGCTTTGTCCAATCAGAAGCCACGTGTTATGAAACCGGGGCCACTTTTATGGAGCCACTTAGTACAGAGTTCTGCTAAGCATGGAAGATACTTGCTCAGCAAACACAGGTTACCACCCAAAACGGCATATCATTTGAACTGCTTTGACAGGTACTCTGCCAATTTCCTGCTGAGCACAAATAGCCACCCATACCGATCCATATTAAGCCCCGCCCCATGACGCGTTGACCAATCACAGCCTTGATTGGTGTCCGCCATACATGCATGCACAAAAGTCTTACATGATGCCGTTTTGTCTGATGCCAGACATCGTAAATATTCATTAAAATAACTTGTATCCAGTCAAGAGGAAGTATTTTAGAGCACTGCATATTCATGAGGAATTAGTATCCAATCAAATTCGTGAACAATCTTTATAGTGTAACTACATGTACACTCATACCTTGCATATGGTACTTGTTCCATATCTGTGGGGAGTACACAGGAGTTGTCCCATGGTACTACATGTATGGGGACCTACGGTACATGTATTGTGGGTACAGCGGAATTCAAGTCCCCGTAACTCGGTCCTAATTTGCCTAACAATAAAAAAACCTCCCCTTGCTCATGTAGTACTGACAATTACATGCTGTGTAAATATTCATGAAGAACCACAATTCACCCATTTAGTATCAAATAAAACAAAAATGGGATGGGATAAGCCATTGAAGATGTTCAATTGCTTGCTCAGGAAAGGATCATCTTCAAAATTATTTTGTAATTCTATTGTTGAAAAGATAAATGCGATTTGTGGTAATTTTGGTCGAGTTTTGAGTCACATAGGTCTAGTCAGAGTCTGCAGGGTGGAGTCCGAGTCCCAGACATTTCTCATTAAATTATAAAGTTTGCGGGTAACACCATGTGGAAAGATATCTCTTCTTGGAAGAAGTGTGGTTCTGAAAAGAACCGGTTGGTTGAGTGTAGAACTCGACGTTTCGGACATTTGTCGTTTCAGACGTTTCGGTCATTCACTCATTTGTCATTGTTACTCGAGTCTGAGTCCAAGTCACGAGTCATACAACTCTGGGTTTTCAAAAGATCTTGGAGGGTTGGAGTTGACAAAGTTGTCTGTTAGACAATAATTTTAATATTGTTATTTTAAGTATACATGTAAAGGCTTCTACAGGTACGGTACATATCTATAATATGTACCGGTGGCACACTGCATAAATCCTTCAACATATTGCATAATAGACGGTGTATCGTGAGCCAATTTAGTAATTACATGCCTTATCCCCAATGCTTCATGGCCAGTCCCCCCCCCCTCCCCCTCCCCCCCCCCTCCCCACACACACACACACAGAGCAAACCCCTGATCCCTTTGGCCTTGCAAAACTAAATGAGAGAGTTAATGTTTCATGATGAGAAATTACGGCCAGCCGTTAATAGTGGATGGCTTTCAGTTTTTGTCCATTTTCATCAAATATTCACATCCAAGGATGTCAGTGCCAGCACTAAACATCTGTCTGTGAATCTCCACAGTGCAATTTTAATTATCATAGAACGTGCTAGAAATTGTCTTACATTTTCCATCTGGACTGGGTTTTTTTTTTTTTTGTCTGTTTATATTATCATAATTTTGCAATAATGAAATTAAGATTGTCATTTTAAGTAGTTGTATTACATAATGACTGGAAATGAAATCAAGGATTCCACAACTGAAGCACCCTATGCACTGTAGCTCGCAAGCCGGAAGACACCTGTAGAAAGAAGACAATGAGAAGCAATTACAAATTTAGAGGTGGGAGGAAAACCTCAAGAAGATTATTCTGGGGGAAAACCCATGGAATCAGGTAGGGACTGAAAACCCAATCCACATTCGGACCAGGGCAGGAATCAAACCCAGGCCATCGAGGTGTAAGGCAAGGAAAGAAACCACTGCACCAACCTGACTCCGAAAATCAAAGCTCCAAAAAATTTTTTTTATGGAATCTAGGATTTGGAGCCATAAATACCAAATTGATTTTGTCCCAACCCCCCCAAAACGAAAAGTTAATCATTAACTTGCACCATCCAACTGCGCGCCATAAATTGTCCAATTTTAGAGTTCTGATACGTAGTTCAAGTTTGTATTAAACTTTCAATTACTGTACCATTTGCTTTGCAATAATTGGCAAGATGCCATGTTTTAATTTGCATATTACACATTTTTGAAGGGTAGTTATCATAGAATTAACCACCCGCAGACCTTGAAAATGTTTCACATTTTTGTGGGTACCCTCATCTTTTCCTAAATAAAAATAATAAATGCTATTTTTTTTTACTGGTTTTCAAGCGTCTCTTTTGAGTGCAAGTATTGCAAAAAAATAAAATTGCCATAAGTCTGGACAAAACCAATAGCAATTGTGAAAAGTAAACTCTGATCTTTGTGTACTGATTGAATAGCGAAAGTATACATGTACTTGATCATCACAGACACCATGAACTGACTCTCAGTTGCGGGTGAGTGTGCGGCACGTGCGCGCATTTTACAGAACCGCGTTAATTATTTTCATTTTCACGAACTGACACCCGGCACAGTGCGGCACTTCTAGCGCGCACTCCATACATTTTCGTTTTCACAAACTGACACAGATCGTAGTTACACCAGTTAAAACGGTAGGCCCTTTTTAATCAATTTTTTGTGTATTAAACCCACAAGTATATGGATGGATTTAATTCATGTAAAACCTTTCAAAGCGTTTTTCTCCGTTCTGTATTGCCGCAGCATGCTTGGGTGTCAGTTCGTGAAAATGAAAATGAAAGGATGAACGACTTCCCCAAATGTTTGGTTATAGGGGCGTGATAGGGCACTCGGGCGTCGTGCATGCACGGGAGCAAGACTCAGCGCGCGACTGCAGTCTTTCACTGGTCAAATTTCTGTCAGGATGCCAGCTGTCTGCGATTATGTGCTCAATTTATATGCTCAATACGTTGTTCTATGTGCGGACGCGGCATATCACGCATGTAGACAATCTGTTCCGTACATTTTGTACGCAAGCCCAGATGAGTTGTTTATCCTTGTGTAGAGGATCTGTGTTTAGCCTGAATACACGCGCATGAGGTGTGCTTAAAATGCCTTGGGTCAGCGCACCAAAGTTCCCATCAAGACTGTATTTGATTCATGGTTGCGTTCGCACCCGGATCGACTCGGGTAAAGGCAGACGGGTTAGCTGTGTGAGCCGGGCTAAGCGAACGCTCAAATGCAGGCCGGTACGATCCTCACATGACGTCCATAGCCGTGGACGTAGCCGTTGACAAAAGCCCTTTTTGGACTGAGTCGAACAATTCCTTCCTCATAGCCTTTACAAACCCTGCTCCATGAGCAAGGTCTGTGGTGGCTGCCCCAGCCGAATTTGCCAGCCAGTTAAATAAAGTGTGGTCCTTTTTGTGTGTTTTGATTTGTGCAGAGAATGAACACCAGAATGGCACGATAAGTTCGCTATCCAGCAGTAGTGAAGTCCTACAGAAGCCGGTCTCAACGCAACCGACGCAGTCACCGATGCAGCCACCACTACAACAAAACTCCTGCTGCTTGGTGTGCGGCGACAAATCCTCAGGGTTCCATTATGGTGTCTTGGCCTGCGAGGGCTGCAAGGTATAGCACTCTTTTTAGTGGAGAAAATCTAAAAAAGATCCTTAAACCGTATAACCCCCTAGGCTCTTTTGCAAGGAACCAATCTCAATCCTCCAAAATCCTCCAAAATCCTCCAAAATCCTCCAAGATCCTCCAAGATTGTGTACTTATGTTCAAATGAAGGATACCCAGTGCCTCAATCCTTCAAAATTCTCTAACAGCCCTGCCTCTCAAAATGCATTCAGCCTCAATCCTTCAAAATTCTCCTCTTCTTCAAACATCAGTAAGCCGATATCCTCCAAAATCAACTGATACTGATTGTCCTTGTGCCCTCGATCCTCCACAATCCTCCAAAATGTTATGTTGCATTCAGCCTCAATCCTCCAAAATCCTCCAAAACCACGTACCTGGAGGACTCTTTAAAGTATTGAGAAAGGTTAAAGTTATGGCATTATGGGATAATGCAGTTATTCCAAAAGTAACCTACTGGCTTATCATCAAAATACTTAATTGGACTAAAGATCGTACTGGTACTAAACACCCCATGAAATTATTTGGTCTGGCTTGCTGTCATTTCGGAGAAATCGATCAAGAAACGTAGGTGATTTCCAACGATTAGTCAGTTGACTGATTATTGGAGATAAAGGAGTGTTGTGGATGAAATTTCGTTTCGTGATCGACAGGTTGTGCATCAGGTTGTCACTCATTTTCTCCCAAAATGTAATATCCACTGTGCTGAAACTTCAACAGGCTAGGTTTTGAACATTCTTCTTTGGATTTGGAGTGGTGTTATTATTGGAAACTTACAAATGCATGAAAAGCAAACGATCCTATGCCCCTTTAAAAATCTTGTAACTATATTCAACTTCAGTGTTCCATGGATACAACATCCAAGTGATACACTGTCCTAATTAGGCAGCTTTAGAGTTGAAGGCAAATGTGAATGCAAAGCAAATTTGACTTGACAAAACATTCGCCGTGAAATTCGCTGGAAACAAAGTATGCACAACTAATGCAGATTTGCATCACGAAAACTTGCAAGGCATCACAAATTCACACACATGTATTTGCATTCACTTTCATGCCGAATATGCAGTAGTCCTTATTATTATTTTGACTTTTTAGTGTGAATGTTACGCACCTCTCCAGACAATAACAATTGCATTGCTGCAACCGCCTCTCAAATCAAAATATTTCTCATGGAATTTTGGATAATGTAGGGAAAACTGTTTTCATAAAGAGCTTGGAATTATCCCGACTGTACGTGTAAAACAGTGCATTTATAATGGCCAAGCAAAATGTAGGTCCAATTAGTATCGAAGCCGAGGCTCTTAGTTTTTAAGCAAGGGACCTTTTCCTCTGTCAATCCTCGTCACAAAAAAACACACCGATGCTGTCAGTTTCTAAGGTATTTTGAAAATCTTCTTCTTCCAAGGTCTCATGACGTGAAGGACGTGTTTAATCATCTATTTGCCTAACCCAATTGTCTTGATTAAACATAATAAAAATATGATTTGTCTTTGTTTTTTGTTTTTTGTCTCCAAACGTCAGGGCTTCTTTCGGAGGAGCAGCAAGCGTGACAAAGAATACACGTGTCGCCACGGCAACGGGCACTGCACAATAGGCCGCATGAACAGAAACCGTTGCCAACACTGCCGCTTCAAGAAGTGCTTGGCCGTGGGCATGTCAAGAGAAGGTAACTGTAAGAGTAAGCCCTTTTTTTTTTATTTTCTCCTTGTTTTGTCCTCGTTTTTGTTTTTGTATTTTTTGTCTCCCATCTTTGTTTCATCTTGCATCATGAGCTTTCTGTTCATATATAAGCAAGTTTCGAATGGCAAAATATTAATTCTGCTTCTGGTTTCCCTACCTACCCTGCTCTGACAGTCTCTACCCTAATATGTTTTTATCGGAAAAATGAGAAGAAAAAAACATCTAAAACCATCAATTACTACCTTTTACCCTTGACTACACGCAGATGCCTCCATATGATTGTACACGAAAAATCTGCCTACTCGATTGCCATGTAATCGGAAGCAGAAGTTTATTTGGTTTTTTGGCCTTTTAGCTATAGTTTGATAATTCCCTGCAGTTGCAGGCCAGTAATTAGGCCCGAAATAGCCGGCCAAATCACAATTTGCATGGCCTAATTTTTTTTTTTGCTTTATTTATTTAATTCTTATTTTTACTGAGTAGCCCGTTCAGTGGAATCCACTGGTCTCCCACAGGACCCTGTAAAGTGAAGACAATGTGAAGAAATGACAGTTTTAGTTGTGGAAGGAAACCCCAGAAGAATATTCTGAGGAAAACCCACGGAATCAAGTAGGGACTGAAAACCCAATCCACATCTTGGCCCAGGCAGGAATCGAACCCGGGTCACAGCGGTGGAAGGCGAAGAAAGTACCGCTACTCCAACCTGACTGCCCTATGCTATTACTAGAGCATTTTGTGGGCCATAAACTTGAGGGTTTGTTAAAAAAGAAGGATGGAAGTCGTGCACAGGAATGGGAGCTTGTATATATATGTGAAATTGGGATAAAATTGGGCCCTAAAATTACTCTATTTTGCAGTGGAGCACAGGCATCATTTTTCACAAAGGCAATGGGCTTCATGACTTCTTTTGGGGGTGATCATCTTTGAATGGAATTTTCTCCCAAAAGTCATTGAACACAAAATGAAAGATGATGAAATGAGCTTTAATTTGATGTGTGTCTCAAACACCTTGGAGAGTTGGGGTATTTTTTCCTGTATTTCGGATGTGGGCGTGCTTATCACTGGGTCTATGGCAGTTTATTTACTAGTCTGCAACCTTATGGGGTCCGTGCACAAGTACGCCCTCAATGTTAAGACGGGGAGAGCTGGGGGAGACCACTGGTTGGGGAGACTTTTGAGCGATTGTTGGCTCTGATATTTTTGCCTCAGTGGGAGCTAGCCTAAAAAAAATGAAACTTGCTTGCATGTGACAGTAGTTTAATTTGCATCTACTAATTGTCATGAAATCGCTGTTTTACTGCGTGTGGTCTTGTGTTCTGTGCTTTTGTTCTTAGTATATCTTTTCACTTAAACAAGGTGGTAAAAATAACCGGAACCTCATACTTCCACTACCCAGAGGCATGGGGAATCTTTTTAGAAGAAAAATGAAACCAAGATCGCCCGATTCGGTCCAGTTGATTTTGTTCTAGAGCGTATTTTGTGAAGCAAGGTGGGGGTCATTGTTGTCCCGATGAATTACTAAACCGCGCCCGGGAATTTGACTTGCATTGTAATTGATGGAGGGATTGTTATCTAATAATACCCACATGAAAGAAGAATCCTTTACAAAATAGGCTCTGCAGCAAAAACTACTGGATGGATCGGGATATTTTGGTATCATAATTCTTCTAAAAGAATTCTCCATCAATTGGTACAGGTGGTTTGAGTCTCAAGGTAGTGGAAGTACATGTACATGTATGCCGTTCCGGGTTTTTGTTTTTTTTGACCACCCTGTTTATGTGTCAATTATAATTTCATGGCCCTACCATAACCAGAGAATAGAATTATGTGCTTACAGGCTCCGTACACGAACAAGAAGGGGCACTTTTTGACCACTTTCGAGAGTTGCAAAATGTGATTTGAAAATAGTAAAATTTCTCTCGTAACTTTGTAATGGGGAGGTGAACTCAAGGTTTATGAACGGGAATGTTTAGAGCATGATGAACTTTCACTTACTGTGAAATTTAGGGTAAAACTGTTGATCTAGCAAGTCACTGGATGCAACAAAAGTATGCCATGTTAGGGGCCGGCCCACCTTAGGTGTCGCCTCACCTTAGGTGTCATCAACAATGCATGACAGTCTTTAGTTGTTCTCAACCCATTTCACTATTCCTCCAAATCATTTCAATCATTCATTCATGATAGTTTGAGTTCCTATTTTAAAATTTGTGGTCTTGCCATGAAACATTAAGTTTTCTCACCAGAAGGATTGTCAAGTTCTGTCATGCCAGCACATGTATAAATCACGATTTACGTCCTTTTCAATTAAAACCGAAATGCCTCTTTTTTTTGCCTCTCTGTCTAACACACCAATTTAGCCGTGAGATACGGTCGCGTCCCGCAACGCACGAAGGTCAAAGGCGGCTCGGGCGCCACGTCGACGGCGCGGAAGAAGAGCACGGACTCGGAGTACGGCGTCAGCGACGGCGACGACATTCCACACTTGCCCCACCAGCCGCCACCCATGAACGGGCAGACGACCTATGACCTGAGCGTGGTGCAGCCGGGGGGCGACACGCTACGCTTGAAGCAGGCGGAGATGTACGACCTGGTCAGCACCGTGTCCTACGCCTTCCGCATGACCTGCATGTACAGCCCCAACAATGCACCGTATCTCAGAGATTTCGCTTTCACTCAGGTGAGAAAAAGAACCCAGAGGCGGATCTAGGATTTTGCATTCTCTATCTGGGCCTATCTGGAGAGGCCAAACAGGGGGGGTGTGGAAGTCCAAGATTTTTTTAAGAGGGATTTTGGCATAGATGTCAAACTCAACACGTACAGAGACTGTGAGTAGTGAACTGGGATTTGCAATATTGTAACAGAGTTGTAACGAGTCACTGATTTTTGTGACTAGAGTCGAGTCGAATCTTTTTAAAGAAGTGACTCGAGTCGAGTCAAGTTGAGTCATTAGGTGAAGACGGTCGAGTCGAGTGGAGTCGAGTCGAGTCGAGTCGAGTCGAGTCGAGTATTTAGCTCGAGTCAGTTTGAGTCCCAAATATTTGAACACTATACAATAAATACACACAAGAGAGAGAGTCATTTTTTTGGCTTTTTTAATTTTACATTCGGGCTACTACATGTGGGGACACCACATTTGACTCTTTATGAAAATAAAAAGGGGTGCCAGCTGATCGTCATTCAACTAATGGGGACACTGATCAAACCACGTATGTATATATACATCATTCGCGAAGATTCTAACATGAACAAAAACCGGTACTGGCGTAAGTCATTGCAAATATTTTTTGTAAATTTTTGCTTTTATTTTTTGGACTCCAGTCTTATTAGCCTTCCTCGAGTTGAGTCGAGTCATTCTGATGAGGGACTCAAGTCGATTTGAGTCACCAAAAATTGTGACTCAAGTCGGACTCGAGTCGAGTCATTGACTCAAGTCATTACAACTCTGTATTGTAAGCATGGTGTTATTTCAGGGAAGGGAATTTGGGATTTTTTTTCTTAATGGTCAGATTGGGGGGGGGGTGGTGGTTAGCCACCCCAACCACCCCCCTTCATCAGTCCTCAGAACCCTTTGATATGTCCATGAGCAATGTACTTTACTCTAGCTTGCCTTGTCTTTCTGGACCTATCTGGAGAGCCAAACAAGGACTTTTATATTTCACTGATATGAAATGCAAGTGTCACACAACACCACCTCATAAGTTTTTTTGTGTAGAAATCCTTACTTGTAATTTGCCTTCGAATGTTTGGATGATGACTATACCAATTAAATGCTGGTTCATCCAATCACATGAGCACAGCTTCAACACACTCATGTAGTCACACTTTTTCCCTGACCCTTCAGGACAACTGCCAGCTCTCGACGACCAACGGCGACAGCATGGACATGATGGGCCGACGGACGTGGCTCCAGCTGGCCGAGCTCCTAGACCAAGCCGTCAGCGGTCAAGTCGAGTTTGCCAAGGCCATCCCCGGCTTCCGCAACCTCTCCCAGGACGACCAGCTGCTGCTCCTCAAGGCCAGCTTCTTCGAGCTCTGGGTCATACGGGTCTCCCCCTTGGTCATGTCCATGAGCCCCCAGACCAACGGGTACATGTCAGGAGGGATGGGGGTCCAGGGGCACCCGCCGCAAGCGGCGATGGCCGGCAGCCCCACTGGCGGCTCGCTGCTCTGGCAGCAGCTCTGCCAGCTGCTGTCGCAGGACCTGTTCGGGATGATGTCCACGTTTGCGCACGAGATGAACCAGCTGTTTCTGCTAGAAACGGAGGTGTCACTGTTTGCTGCCTCGCTGCTGACCGCCAGAGGTTGGTTTTGGCGTTGATTTTGAGTCATTGATTTCGGCGCTGTTTAAACCGTTTCATTTTGCAGGTGGAGCAGAACTGGTCAGGCAAGTTACTGGTTTGTCAGTCTTTGTCCAAGTCTGGGTTTTGATTTTCTTAATGTACTGCAGGAGGGTGCTATCAATAAGTCAAATCCAGTCTTGTGAAGTTTCAGCGGTTGGGCCTGAGAAATTCTGAGGATACCTCAAGTACACTATGTATTCAAGACAATGTGAGGTTTGCATCAGTGGTGCACCCAGGATTTGGCTTAGGGGGGGGGGGGGCTCACAATTATTTTTTTAGAAATTGAGGGGGGGGGGTTCCCAAAATGGCCACAGAAAAAAATTGGGGTTTTTTTTGGGGGGGACGGACTATTTTGACGTTGGTGGCACCATTTACACCCCTATTATACTACTCGAAAATAGGCCACATACATATCACCACGGTCAAATCGTGGGACTAAAAAAAAGAAATGGATGTGCCACTGGTTTGCATGGCATTTCTTGGGTCCAAAGTTGCCGGGATTCCCATGACTAGACTAATGACTCTTCTGATTGACAGCACTTTCACTGCAATTGTTAGGGACCGACTGCAAATTCAGTCTTGGACTAAGACTATCGACTATCTTGCAAGGTTGTTGGTGATATGACCTGTTGAACAGCATGTTGCGCGATCCTTCCATCAGTACTCAGAGGATCCGTGCACATATATGGTGAGTCTGTGCCTGGATAGACTCTGCACATAAACAGCAGATGGTAATCCATTTTAGTGTTCATGCAGCATGAACATCACACACTTCTCAAAACAATAACAATAAGCCTCTGTACTGATGACATCGCACTTTGTTTACGTGTGTGCTTTCTGTGGTGCTTAGTGGACCGTGGGCCCCCACTGGCTCCATAGGAAAGTGCACATGTAAACAAAGTGTGACGTCATCAGTACAGAGGCTTATATTGCTGTGCTACACTACCTATTGACTTCCAAGCAACCTTGAGATTAAAAGTGAAGATATTTCTCATGGAAGTTTTGAAATTTCTCAGGGAAATATCTGGGAAAACTTATGGAATTTGTCTTCATAAAGTGCTGAGAACCCTGATACACAGGTCCTCTCAACATTTATCACAAGCCAAACACAATATGATCTGAGCTTTGGCAAAACTGACTTCACATCTGCAAGTTTAGAAGAAGAATAAATAGGACCATTTTCTTTTGCTCCCTCCCTTGCAGATATACCAGGTTTGGCCAACCCAACCCTAGTCGCTGAGCTTCAAGATCAACTCTTCGAGGCGCTACGCATCCAAGTGGAGGGCAACCACCCACCCAGCAACCCACCCTTCATTAGCACCCTAGTCAACAAGGTGCACGTCCTGCGACGCATCGGCGCCATGCACCGCGACTACGTCATGGGCTGCGCGCAACGCTGGCCGGACCTCTGCGCCAGTCTACCGGCCCTCTACGCTGAAATGATGGACATCAGCATGCAGTGACCCCAAGCCACAACTAGCTATACGACAGGGAGAAAAAAAGGTGTCTTTTTTATGGTGTTCTTGCAAATAGAAATTCTGGTTATTTGTCAGTTGCTAATAACAAGTGTCGCAGTTCGAGATGTGTTAACCCTAACCCCCATCGGGTATTCTTCAGGTACCCTGCTAAATGCAACATATCCAACTCAACTCAAATGAGAACCGCGCCAAATGCAACAAACTGCAACACTGGATTCTGTTGCATTGTGCAGTGAACCCAGTGCGCGCCAGCCTTGGCACCAAGCAGTTACCCTGCTAAATGCAACAAGATGCAACAGGGCACGGTTCTTGAGTTGGCTGCCACTGTAAATGCAACAGTGTGCAACAACAGTTCACCTTTGTTGCTTTCTGTTGCATTTAGCAGGGTTAGGGTTGAAGGAACCGTGGATTTCAAAGCATGCCTGTGCTGTGTCAACAGAGCACGGTACTTGAGTTGGCTGCCACTGTAAATGCAACAGTTGTGCAACAACAGTTCACCTTTGTTGCTTTCTGTTGCATTTAGCAGGGTTAGGGTTGAAGGAACCGTGGATTTCAAAGATACCTGTGCTGTGTCACGGCTTTTGATGCTGAAAAATGCAGGGGTACGACTATTGGTGTAAGTCGGAGCTGCTGATTGGTTGAAGATGGAGATTACCGTAGCCTGTGTAATAGACTTTGCAATTGGACGGTGTCATTAATTTGAGAAGTGCCGGCTCTGTAATTTACAGAGTGTGGCCTTTTCTGGAGAAACGTCCGGGAAAACAAAAGGCAGAAGTAGCAACTTGGTAACAGTTGGTACAGTTTTCATATGCGCATTGTTCCATCAATGAAATTAGCAGACCAGATTCTGTGATGTATAGCACTCCACTCTCAGAATATTTGCAAGAATAAGCTTAACTGGCTTTACCAATAACTTCAAAGAAGATGCCAAACCCGTCAAGGAAGATTTAAAAAGTTGTGAATGTGGTTTTTTTTCCGCAATTTTATCCGTCCGCACATGGAATATTTGCGCACGGATAAAAAGAAAACTATAAATATATCATTACGGCAGGGATTTTATTCTTTGTGAATAAATATATTATTCACAGTTTATGTTACTGTTTTTTGTGAAGAAAGCAGTAGCGCACGACGATGTAGTTTAGGAGTACAGTATGTGAACGGTATCAAATGTATGTTGATTACATTGTAGAAAACTAAAAGGAGCTTTCAAGTCTGGGGATCGCAGATGGGGTGTGGTGCGTAGCGGCAGCCATCTTTGGTCTTGTTCCCTGAAGCCACTATGAACATTGTCAATATAGGGTTGATGCATGATACCAGGCTGAAGTCTGCAAAGCAAGGAGCCACCAATTTTCTTCTGAAACTGAAATCGTTATCCTGACATTAATCTAGCCCACACCTTCAAGTAAAGTACAACTTGTTGAAATCAGAGAATCAATTTTATGAGCTGTGTACACATATGTGATGCAATCAAGCTAAATGAGTCGTTTGTCGACCCTGGCCAATTTTTTTTTTACAGATTTGAAAAGAGCTCAATCTCAGCATTACTGCTGTGAAAACCGCTTGCTGATACCATCTTTAGTTCAAAAATTGGGAAGTCGGAACACCAAGAAATGTGATAAAGTGATGTGATGAAGTGGTCCTATTTTGGCCTATATCTCCCAATGAAAGTCCCTGACAAACGACTCATTTAGCCTGATCGCATCACATATTAAGAACTATGAAGTTAAGAAGAGCAGTGAAATTTAGCCTCGATATTACAGCTGCAATGTGCTACGAATTTGACTCGACTGTAAATCACTGTTTCACGACGACTTGCCAGGCAAAATTATCCAAAATTTGAAATAACTAAACCAATACCGGAAAGAAAGAAGTTCACGACTGTGGCAATATGTCTGACAAAAACCAACCGTTGTGGCACTTAATGTCCTTACTATACATGGTTGCTTGTCATTGAAGAAAGACTGTGTCCGAATTAGTTGCTAAGTAACTAATATTCATAGCTATTGTAACTCGGACAAGGAACTCTTAACAACAAGCTGCAGCCTGTTCCATGCATGCAAATGATCCAGACCACAGTTGCATTAGTCTGGTTCCCTGTCCCTATTGTCCTTCGGACTTCCAATATGGGGACAGGTAGCTAGCAGTGAACCTGGCTATACATCAGGAGGCCATTCTCCTGATGTATGCAAATTATATGCATGACCTGTGCAGGTCTCCATCCCGCCTCGTGAATTCAAAATCACAACGGTAATTGTTGCGCACAACCAGCCTGTTGAAAAATGGCAATAGGCCGCGCCACAAACGTGCAGTTTCCGAGGTGATGAGCTTCGATTTTTTGCTGAGTTCGAAAGTGTCTCTGGCAAATATCACTAAAGAGAGGGAAATTACTGTTCAGTATTTAAAACCTATGCAGTTGGAAATGCTTGAAAGTTGCCCTCATGGAGACACTGACGAATTTGCGTACTATTTGTGGTGAGGCAAGAGCGAGTTTCTTGACAATCGTGTGTGTTCAATCACCATCCAAACGCAATGCTAAGCAGCGATTCAAAAATAAACAATCACGCTACGCGCGGGCAGAGGTGATCCAATCAATGGCTTTAAATGGGAGCTAGCTACCGGTCCCCATATTTTTAGGGGGCCGGGAAACAGTCGACAGTTACATAAGCAATTTTGGCTGTGGCTTTTTACCATTAGTGCACTGCCATAACAATCCGTAGCCACAGACAAAAGCTGCTCAATCCAGAACACGGTTTGAACAACTTGTATAAAGAACGAAAATTAATGGGCATTATTAACGAATAAACCTTGTAAAGTTATTTACAGAAATACTCAAATGTATAGCCACCGCTGTAGATATTAGACAAATTAATGCACATAAGTCTTGCTCAAAACTCAACTTACATGTAAATTGCCCTTTTTTCCCCTATTTCTTTCATAAATGTTAAGTTTTCTCTGAAATAAGCTTGTTTTTCTGCCTTTTTTTTTTATCTTTTCGAAATTGTATAAAGTTTGTGGGCGTTTAAATGAAATACATAAATGTTTGCAATAATTTGTTTGTCGTAAAGGTTCTTAGGAATTATTTTGGTCTCCGATTTTTAACGCTTCGCCAATGTATATATCAGTGTACACAACTGACACTCACTTTTAGTCCATTACACACAAGTTTTTGTTAAAAACTTCATCCAATGAAATTGTCCTCATTCACAGTGCATCGTAGATAACTATAAGATCACAATATAAGATCAAAGCTGAAAGTGGATGTAACTGGCCAAAATCTTACAACTCTGAAATAACAGTCATCTTGTCAAAATCTTGTCTAGCCAAATAGAGGTTGCAACTTTCTTTTAATAAAAAAATGCTTCAAAAGCTATTCAGAAATTGACATTTTGCCAAAAGAAACACAAGTTTTAATTTCTGTTAACCATGTTTTCTGCCAAAACTAAAAAAAAGCAATTTTTGATAATGAAACCACCCTCATATCCTTAAATTACCGTTAGTGTGACAAAATATAACTTGATATAAAAAAATAATCTTTTTTTTTGGGGGGGGGTCACTTTTAGACAATCAGTGAATAGGACAATCTTTTGTTTTGCTTACTCCATTCTAAACTAAAACTATATCTACAGTTTTGTTAAAATTGCATGATCAACTTTTTTTGGGGGGGGGGGCAACATGATTTCTTCTGCTTATAAATTGTCTTCAAATCTAATTAGGGTCATGTTAAAAAAAAAACCTGGTTTCTTGTCAGTATATGTGTCATGATATGTATGTACTCTCTCCATGTATTTTTTTCCCGATTTTTGCTTCAATGTTGTGTACAAGGAAAGACATTTTATCTGTGGTCTGCATGTTGTGAAATTGGAACGAAAACTTCAGCCATTTACAGAATTTGGGCCAGATTTTTTTTCTAATTTCTTCTACCCATACCGGTAACTTATAGACCTTTCTTTGCCAAACTATGGAAGGCCAGCACCGCAAAAATAAAGAATAGTTATAAATGTTTCCAAAACATATCTTTGGATTGCTGAAAATACAAAATATCAAACAAACTCTACCAAAAACTTTATCAAAACACCTCTTTACACAATGAGGGTGTTAATATACAATTTTTTTTTACAGTACAATAAGTTTCTGGCCGCGGCTTACATTTATGCCCTTGCAGCAGCCTATACAAAATGGAGCTCAACATTTACAAATGAAAGAAAGGTCTATATTAGGCAACCTTGTTTCCATGGGTACGAGATCTTGCTGCGCCATGTTGTTTCCCATCATGCCTTTCGTGAAGCTTAACCCCTGGAATTGTGTAATTTCAATGTGTCACAAAGTAGGACATCTTTATTAGGACTGCAGTCGATGTACCTAACGCGCGACGCAGTGCTTAACATTTTGAAAGTTCTTTTCTGTGTAGAATCAATCTTTTCAAACATGACATTTCGACGTCGCGTTATTTAGCGAGGATGTACGTATCACTGTCATCCTTTCACAACACGAGATGCAGGTTTGCTGAGGCTAAAAATGAGACTTCCATAATCCCTATCATACAGGCATCGCGCAGTTACCAAAAAAATGTTCGTACGTGACGTGACGTGCATTGTTGGTCGTGCAGTTTTCAAAATACACGCGCTGTACTCTCTGAATGGGTGGGGCACGTGTGGTCTAGCGGTGGAGCACAGGATTCGTGATTGAGAGGTTGTGGGTTTGAGCCCTGCCGTGGTCATGCGTGTTGTGCCCTTGAGTAAGGCGCTTTACCTCAATTACTCCTCTCAACCCAGGTGTTAAATGGGTACCGGCATTGTTCAATGCTGGGAAGGTAACAGACTCGCTGTGGAGGAGGTGTGGTGATCCCTCCCACAGCAGCATACGAGTCTGGCCCAAATGCTAACGAAAGAGAGATGGGCACTCCGTTCCTGTGAATACAGGTTTGTCCCCCCTCCCCTTTACTCTCTGAATAGCCGGTCAGCGTCATTTACGTATTCCTCATGGCCAGGGGTTAGTGAAGGAATGCGCACGCACCCATGGAGTCGAGGCTGTATATTAGGGCACAGTGCTGAAACAAGCCAGGTTTTTGTTTTGTTTGGTTTTTGTAATGCGGCTTCATTAGGTTTGCTTTCTTGTGTAGTGTGTGTATCTCGTCTGGGCGTGAAGCGCGTGCTCGCTTTTG